GTTGGTTCATTTGCTTCAACAGGTAATTCATTCACATTGTTCAAAAACTTAAAAGGAAAAAAAATTTTAAAGGAAATGAGGTGTATAATGAAAAGACCCCCCCTACCCTGCCCCTCATATCCAGTTATCTAATTATCCTCACTAGATATAAGCATCCTTCCAGGGCTGCTGTGGACATGAGGAGGCAAATGTTATTCTTCCCTTACCTACACAGATTATAGCATACTTTTCACATTGTACCATATTTTGCTTTTTTCCCATAAAGTTTATCTTTATGAGCCTTCTCCATCAATACATAAGCAGCTTCCTCATTCTTGCTTATGGCTACACAGTATTTATTTGTATGCGTGTTCCATAATTTATTTCACCAGGTCCCTCTTGATAGGGATTGTTTCCAAAGTTTTGCTATAATAAGTAAATTGTTATTTATGTTAGTTCAAATGTTGATAAATATACCTATAGAATACAATGCCTAAAAGCAGAACTGATGAATCAGAGATGCATATTTATGATTTCACCAGTTACTGACAATTTGCTCGTGGTGGAGACTGTACAGATTTACATTTCTACCAGCAAAATACGAGTGCCTATTTCCCATACTCTCTCAAAGACATGTATTAATGATTCAACTTCAAGATTTCTTTTTTGCCAATCTGATAGGTGAAAAAGTACTTTGGTGTGCTTTTCAGATATACACTCTTCCTATTGTAAACATAGTTGCTGATTTTTTCACTTTTTTTTTTTTAGATTTCTTTTTTTTAAAGATTTTATTCATTTATTCATGACAGACACACAGACAGGGAGAGAGAGACAGAGACACAGGCAGAGGGAGAAGCAGGCTCCATGCAGGGAGCCTGACATGGGACTCAATCCCGGGTCTCCAGGATCAGGCCCTGGGCTGAAGGCAGGGGCTAAACCGCTGAGCCACCCAGGCTGCCCTAGATTTTTTTTTTTTAAAGTAATCTCTGCATCCAGTGTGGGACCCAGACCCATAACCCTGAGATCAAGAGTCACATACTTCAGGGGCGTCTGGGTGGTTTAGTTGGTTAGGCATCTGTCTCAGGCTTGGGTCATGATCTCAGGGTCCTGGGACGGAGTCCTGCATTGGGCTCCCTGCTCAGGGCGGAGTCTGCTTCTCCTCTGCTCCTTCCCCCCCTTGTGCTCTCTTTGTCTCTGACAACCAAATAAAGAAAATCTTAAAATATAAATAAATAAAAATGTTATTTATTTATTTATTTGAGAGAGAGAGGGAGAGTGGGAGGATGAGCAGAGGGAGAGGGGTAAACAGACTGGATGCCAAGTGTGGATCCTAACGTGGGGCTCAATTCCATGACCCCAAGATCATTACCCAAGCCAGATGCTCAACAACTGAGCCACCCAGGCACCCCCAGTTTACCATATTTGTTAGTCATAAGAATAGAGATGGGAAGACAAAGGTAGGGAGGTTGTAAATTGCATTGACCAGAGTCATGGTTGAGCATGGAACTCAACATACCCCAATTCTGGACCAGGGAATAGTTCCTAAATACTAGCTATCTTTGATGGCAAAACAACAGTCCAGGGATGTGGAGATGACTTAGATAAGCAACATTTTTAAGAGACAATGTTAATAGTAGTAAAAATACTACTAATAAATATTAAAATGCTGCCCGATGCCTGCCCAGGAGCAAATGTGCTGGGCTGGAAGAACAGAGATGTCTGAGTTTGTTCCCTGACAGCAATGGTAACACTATCTTCCCAAACAGGAGAACCCTTTTGACTTCCCTCCGATCTAGTCACTGGCATTTCATTTGTCCATTCTACAAAATGTATTGAGCACTCACCACCTGAGGCCCTGGGCTGAGCACCATGAGGTGTGGACGGGTGGGGCTGACTCTGTCCTCACCATTGAGCAGAAGAGGCGCATATCTTGTGGATTTCAAAAGATTGCAGGAGGGGATCCCTGGGTGGTTCAGGGGTTTAGTGCCTGCCTTCAGCCCAGGGTGTGATCCTGGAGTCCCGGGATCGAGTCTCAGGATCGAGTCCCACATCGGGCTCCCTGCATGCAGCCTGCTTCTCCCTCTGCCTGTGTCTCTGCCTCTCTGTGTCTCTCATGAATAAATAAATAAAATCTTAACAACAACAACAACAACAAAAGATTGCAGAAGAAGGGCCTGTAGGCTTGACTTTTGCAAGATTCAGCTCTGCCAACTCTAAGTCTTGCCTGTGTGTTGTGAAGACAAAATGCAATAATTTCCATGACAAGTACTTGGTGGGTACAGAATGTACTTTATCTGCTTCTGCTGCAAGGTTCAAGTTGTGCGGAAGGTGAGCCTTCACTGCGTCTGTGAGGGGAGGAGTGGGTTTAGAAGGATCCCACATATCCCCTGGGGCCCATCCCTGGGCTTCTTCTGGTCTGGGAGGTGTTGTCTAAGCACCTCACTCTGGGCCACATTCCACTGAGCGGATGAGAAATGGGCCCAGTCAGGGGAAGTGGCTTGTTCAGGTCATGGATTAGGACCTACATATCCCTAGGCCTGGCCTAGTGAGTCTCTGCAGGCTTCCCGTCTGGGGCAGGGAGGGTTAACCTGACACTGCCCTAGTCCTCTGTCTCCCTTCAGCCCAGAGACATTCTCAGGGAACACAGGGCAGAGGAGAATTTCCTGCTTCTTCAGATGGAGGAAGAACCTCAGAGCAGCAGACAAAGACTTCATCCCACGCTACGCAAGCGCCTCCACTTTCCATACACACCCACGGCATCTTTGCTCATGCTGTTCCTTCTTCATACACCCTAACCCCACGTTCTCACTCTCGCTAACTCCGCTACTTCACAATTCACGTGGATATTTATCTCTTCCAGGAAACCTCTGCGCCTCTGCCCAAGCAACTCTCCTCCAGGCTCCCACGGCAACAGATGATTCCTTATATCCTTAGGCTTTCTGCTTTGTATTAAAAATATAGGGGCCGCACTCTTTCCCTCTGTCTGAGTAGCCTGAGAGGTCCTCAAGGACAGGGGAACTCACTTTGTTTATTTATAACATTTATCTTTAAAGTACTCTCTATATCCAACACGGGGCTTGAACTCACAGCCCCAAGATCGAGAGTTACATGCTTCATCAACTGAGCCAGTGCCCAGTGCCCCCAGGACCTCATTTTCCCCTCAGGATGTTCCTGAAAGACACTGCTTGGCCCTCAGTAGCCAACACTTAACAAGGATCAGACGTGGGCTCAAAGGCCTTTGTTCCCTCACCTTTGGGACAGGTCCCTATTCATTTCTGGCATACAGAAGATGCTCGGTAAGTTTACTGAATTGAATTAAATAGCATTAATCATTCTGCAAATGCATCCCACCTCTGAGCATTGAAGTTACTTGGCTCTAACACACCGGGATAAAAACTATGTGGGGTACAGAGCTCAGAATTCAAAACACGTGCTCCAAATACTCCGATTTCCGTCCTCATTTGGATTCTTGACACGGGTTTGTCGGAGTGAGGAGTGTTGAGTCCTCCCAAGGAGCCCAGCGTTACCAGGGAGTCTTCCCCAGGGGCTGCCTCGTGCTGGGGCTGCTACTCCACCGCCTCTCAGGGTCGGGCTCGGGGAGGGGTCCCTGCCCTTGCAGGAGGGCGGAGACGCCAAGCCGGGTGTCGGGGGCGCACACAGTAGGGCCCCTCTGTAATGGAGGGCCTCTTGGAGAGAGACTCCCAAAGTCCATCATGGGGCTCCCCCAACCGTTTCCCACGTTGGCTCTCAGAGTGGCCCTCACTAAACCTTAAACCCAGCAGGGACCGAACTGCGGAACTGCGGCCGGGACCCCAGAGCGGGAGGAACGGGTCCCACGGCGCCCCCTTGCGGTGCTCTGCACCCAGGCCGCGCCCGGGTCCAAGCGTCCACGCCGCCTCCCACCCATTTCCAGAGTCCGGACACCGCGCCCGGGCGAGGGAGCGGCTGGTCCCGGGGGCCCCGGGAACGCGCTCCTGCCGCTCAGGGCGGGGTCTGACGGCGGGGGCCGGGGCCGGGGCCGAGGCCGACCTGCAGCGGGGCGGCGCTGGCACCGCGCGCAGCCTGTGCTGACTCACGGAGAGGGTCCTGCGGGCGGCGCCGAGGCGGCCGTGGGCATGCGGGGTCGCGGGAGCCGGAGCCGCAGCTAGAACCCGGATGGGCGGACCGGCGCCGCGCCCCACGGTGCTCTCCGCCCAGTGCACGGCGCCCCCCAGCGGGCGCGGGGGGCTCGGCAAGCAACGCCACGCGCGCGGGTCCTCGGATCCAGCCCCCCACGCGGGACCGCGGAGACAGGAGTCTTCGGCGCGGCGGGGGCGGGGCGCGGCGGGTGGGCGGGGCGGGCTAGAGCGCAGCGAGTGGGCGGGGCGCAGCGGGGGGGGGGCGGGCCAGAGCTCAGAGAGTGGGCGGGCCAGAGCGCGGCGAGTGGGCGGGGCGCAGAGAGTGGGCGGGGGGCGGGCCAGAGCGCGGCGAGTGGGCGGGGCGCAGCGGGGGGGGGGCGGGCCAGAGCTCAGAGAGTGGGCGGGCCAGAGCGTGGCGAGTGGGCGGGGCGCAGAGAGTGGGCGGGGGCGGGCCAGAGCGCGGCGAGTGGGCGGGGCGCAGTGGGTGGGCGGGGCGCGGCGAGTGGGCGGGGCGCGGCGAGTGGGCGGGGCGCAGCGGGGGGGGGGCGGGCCAGAGCTCAGAGAGTGGGCGGGCCAGAGCGTGGCGAGTGGGCGGGGCGCAGAGAGTGGGCGGGGGCGGGCCAGAGCGCGGCGAGTGGGCGGGGCGCAGTGGGTGGGCGGGGCGCGGCGAGTGGGCGGGGCGCAGCGAGGGGGGCGGGCCAAAGCTCAGAGAGTGGGCGGGCCAGAGCGCGGCGAGTGGGCGGGGGCGCACGGGCTGGGTGGGCCAGAGCGCGGCGAGTGGGCGGGGGCGCAGAGTGGGCGTGGCGCGGGGGGCGGGCCAGAGCGCGGCGCGTGGGCGGGGGGCGGGCCAGAGCGCGGCGAGTGGGCGGGGCGCAGAGAGTGGGCGGGGCGCGGGGGCGGGCCAGAGCGCAGTCCGGCGGGAAGCCGCAGAAGCCGGGACGCTGGGTCCGAGATGACCGCCAGCAAACGGGTGGCGAAGGTAACGGCGGTCGGACGGCCCCTGTCTCGGCTCCCCTCGCCTCGCGTGCCCTGCCCCCTGCATCCCGCCCCGGCTCCCCGAGCGCGGTTATTTGTCGCCGTCGCCGCCGCCCCGTCGGAGGAGCGGGCTCCCGGAGGGGCGGGAGCCGAACTGGGGGGAAGCGAGGGCGGGCGGGGGGCGCGGATCGAGCGGGGCTGCCGCTGCGGCCCTGGGCTGTGCTGGGAATGGGGCTGAGCCGGCTCCCGTGGAGCCGAAACTGGTTTCGGTTTCGTTTCTTCTGCCAGAAACTTGGCCTGGCAATCGCTCGCGTCTCCCGGGGGTGCTAGAAAGGTTCCGAGAGCCGGGCGCGCCGCTGGGGTGAGGGGGTGGTGAGGCGCAGAGGTAACGGGGAGTGGCTCATGCCCCGGCCGGAGATGAGGCACCTACGTTTCTAGAGTCCGGGGAAGTATGGGGTGTTGAGTAGGGGTCAGGCACAAAGTCCCCTGGGTATTCTCCGGAGGAAAAGCTGCCAAGGCGGAGCTGGAAGGCGTCCTGGAGTAGGTGGCGCGCGCTCGTCCTTCTACAGATGTTGTCGGAAGCCTGTCATGTGCTGGCTCCTGTGCTAGGAACTCCGAGGCAGAGATGAGCAAAAATCTTGCCCCTCCCTCCTTGAGCTTTCTTTCCAATCAGGGACACAGTTTGCAGATTGACTTATTTTTGAGAGAGAGAGAGAGAGAATTCCAAGCAGACTCTATGCTGAGGACAGAGCCTGAGCTGGGGCTGGGGCTGGATCCCACGACCCTGAGATCAGGACCCCAGCAAGCTGAAATCAAAGAGTCCATGCTTAGGGCTCCTCGGTGGCTCAGTGGTTGAGCGTCGTCTGCCTTTGGCTCAGGTCGTGATCCCAGGGTCCTGGGATGAGTTCTGCATCGTGCTCCCGGCAGGGAGCCTGCTTCTCCCTTTGCTTCTGTCTCTCTGTGTCTCATGAATACATAAATAAAATCCTTAAAGAAAAGGTCCATCTTTAACTGACTGAGCCACCCAGGGGCCCCTCCATTCAGGAACACTATTTAAAGTGAGGTCTGGGAGGATGGGAAGTGGGCAAACTTAAGGGTGGGAAAGCCCAGGGTGTTTGAAGGACTGGGGTGTAGCCTGCGTGTGGGCAGAGGTGGGGAAGCAGGAGCAGTCGTGGTGAGGTGGGTCTGACATGCCCTAGACTTTGTCTTGGAAGTGCCCCTCCAGTGTGTAGGGTGGGGGCAGGTTTAAGGGGGTGAAGAGGACTGCCGGCTCCTCTGAACCTTTGAGAAATAGAAGGTCTCAGATTGGGGCATAGAGCTGGCCAAGCCCAGAAGAACTGAAATCTGGAGGTTAGCAACAAAAGGACGCGGAAGGTCTTTCTAGTCAAGTGGGAAAGGGCTGGGAGCCAGTATTCGCCACACTGACACGACTGAGTGCCAGGCTATTTACATTAGTTCGTGAAGTTCCCACAACAACTTTGTGTGAGATAAATTTTTACAAATGAGGAAGTTGAGGCTCAAAGAGAATAACTCAGTTGTCCAGGGTCACCCAGGAGGGAGTGATAGGGCTGGACGTGGAGCCCAGGTAGGTGGTGCTCAACCTGCAGGCTCTTCCAGTGACTTCTTTACTTTCATTTTCTGTTCCTTGGAGTCAGGTGGTTTCCTAACGGGCCTCAGGAAAGAGCGGGGCGTCTTAGCTTGAGTTTCACTATCCTCAGGCTTGCAGCGTCTTTGGCAGAACTCTTCTACAACCGAAAGGTCCAAGTGATCCCCGTTATAGTAAAGTCAGGAAGATGTCCATTCCAGAGCTTCTCTGTTTGGCTTAGGGCTTCATTCCTTTTTTTCTTTTTTTAAACTATGTCTATGAGGTGATGGCCCTCACTTTTTTTTCCCTTTAGATTTTATTTGTTTATTCATGAGAGACACAGAGAAAGAAGCAGGAGACATAGGCAGAGGGAGAAGCAGGCTCCCTGCGGGAAGCGCCGTACAGGACTCGATCCCAGGACTCCGGGATCACGACCTGAGCCAAAGGCAGACGCTCAACCACTGAGCCACCCAGGGCTTCCTTCTTGCCAGAGGGTCATAGATGTTACTGGAGCTAGGACTCATGGTAGCAGGTGCTTCTACTTGGGGAGTAAAATATAAATGAGGGGTCCTAGACTCTGGGCACAAGGCACAAGAAGCAGTTTGTTGGTATGAACAGAGACGGAGTATGGGCTGAGACACAGGCGATGAGGCCAGGGTTGCGTTTAGATATTGGGGGTGCAGAGAAAGTTCACGTGGTCCACAGCCTGAAGAGCCCTTCCCAAGCTGTGGACTAAGTTTGAGCTTTCTGTCTGCCTTTTGTTTGTACCACCATTTCTCAGCCTTGTCACTGTTGACATCTGGGGCTGGGTAATCCCTTGTACGATGTCTGTCAGCATCCCTGGCCTCTACTCACTAGATGCTGGTGGCACTTTCCTGCAACAACCCAAAGTGGCTCTAGGCATTGCCCAGTGTCCGCTGGAGGGGTGGGGTCAAATTGGCACCAGTTTGAAAACCAATGGTTTGGGACCCCTGGGTGGCTCAGTGGTTGAGTGTCTGCCTTTGGCTCAGGTCGTGAGCCCAGGATCCCAGGATTGAGCCCTGTATCCAACTCCCCACAGGGAACCTGTTTCTCCCTCTGCCTGTGTCTCTGCTTTTCTCTTTGTGTCTCTCATGAATAAATAAATAAATAAAATCTTTTTTTTTTTAATAAAATCTTTAAAAGAAAAGAAAACTGATGGTTTATAATAACCATTTGGTGTTCCAGAGGAATATGACCTGTCCTTGGATGTCTTTTTCTTTGTTATTCTTGTTGTTTTGCTTTCTAAAAAAAAGGTCTGTTGTCCTACAGGATGGACCCCAAAAAAGGAGCAGGGTTCTTTGGTCAGATTTTTTTTAAAGATTTTATTTATTTATGCGTGAGAGACACAGAGAGAAAGAGAGAAAGGCAGAGACACAGGCAGAGGGTGAAGCAGACTCCGTGCAGGGAGCCTGACATGGGATTCGATCCCGGGTCTCCAGGATCAGGCCCTGGGCTGAAGGCAGGCGCCAAACCGCTGAGCTACCCAGGCTGTCCTTTGGTTAGATACGTTTGAGAAGAACTGCGTGCCGTGGGCTCACATCTTGGAGATTCACGATGCACAATAGCATATTAAAGGCTCTGGGAAGTCCTGCAATAAAGAAATCTGTTTAGCTTTGTGTTTTCCAATGTACTTGACCATAGAACCCTTTTCCATCCATAATTCTTTTTTTAAAAAATATTTTATTTATTTATTCATGAGAAACAGAGAGAGAGGCAGGAGCAGAGACACAGTCAGAGGGGGGAAGCAGGCCCCCTGCAGGGAGCCCGATGCAGGACTCGATCCCTGGATTCCAGGATCGTGCCCTGGGCCAAAGGCGGGGGCTAAACCGCTGAGCCACCCAGGCTGAGCCACCCAGGCGTCCCTCCATCCATAACTCTCAAGCTTGCATGGAGCACACCGTACACATTTGCTCTCACTGGGCCCTCTGCCTTGGATGCCTGTCCCCTTCTCTGCATGGCGGACTCCTGTGTACTCTGCGTGGCCTGGCTCAGTGGCACCATCTGCAAAACCTTCCTGCTCCCCTGTCCTGCCCTTCCCTGTTGTGTGTGCACACATGTTCCTCACACAGTCACATTCATGTTTCTGCCAGTACCCCAGGGAAGTTTCTGAGGGCGGGGCCCTTCCCACTCCAGTGTCAGTAGAGGATGCCCTGTAATGGGTTGGAGAGTGAATCCAGTGATATGCAGGCACCTGGGCCACATCCTGGGGTGGCGTGGCTGGGGCAGGGGTGTGAGTCACTCCTTGTTCCCTTGTTTCTCTGCTTGGAGTGTAGAGTTCTCCTGGGCTACAGTCAGCCTGAACCATCTCCCTTGCCCGGCCCTGGTCTGGAGGAGTTTGTCATGAGCACATAAGGACCTGTTGTCATGCTGGACACACAGTGGATGCCTTGGGAAGAAGGGAGGGAGGGAGAAAATGAGGACCTTGTGTCTCTCCAGGGAGAGAGAAAGAGGACAGAGGTGTCGTATGTAGTATCTTTGTTTTAGGAGGAAAGGCTGCAGATAGAGTTTATTTCCAAGTGGTCATAATGTCTGGAAACAAGGATCATGCATCCCCCCCCCCCTCCACTTAGTACCTAAAGAGCTTGGTGAGGCTTAAGGCAGATAAGTCACTTAAAACACTCAGCACTGTGCTCGACATATTCTTTTCTTTTTTTTTTTTTAAGATTTTATTTAGTCATGAGAGACAGAGAGAGAGAGAGAGAGAGAGGCAGAGACACAGGCAGAGGGAGAAGCAGGCTCTACACAGGGAGCCTGACATGGGACTCGATCCCTGGACTCCGGGATCATACCCTGGGCCGAATGCAGGCATCAAACCCCTGAGCCACCCGGGCGTCCCATAAAATCTTTTTTTTTTTTAAAAGATTTATTTATTCTTTGAGTGAGACAGCGTGTGTAAGCAGAGGAAGGGCAGAGGGAGAGACGCAGACTCTCCGCTGAGAAGGGAGCTGGATGTGTGGCTCAGTCCCAGGGCCCTGAGATCATGACCTGAACTGAAATCAATAGTGAGACACTTGGGCAGCCCAGATGGCTCGGTTTAGCGCCGCCTTTGGTCCAGGGCCTGGGATCGAGTCCCACCCTGCGTGGAGCCTGCTTCTCTCTCTGCCTGTGTCTCTGTCTCCCTCTCTCTGTGTGTCTCTCATGAATAAATAAATAAAATCTTAAAAAAAAAAGTGTCAGACACTGAGCCACCCTGGAGCCCCCAAGCCTGGCACATTCTAGGTGCTCAGTAAGGACTCTTTGCCAGGTCCTGTCCCAGAGGGTGTCCTCTGGGACTTGGGACAGCTTGCTGCTGGGACAGGCAGGCAGATGGGGGGCTGAAGTAGGGGAGGCTAACCCTCTGCCCACTGCTGTGCTCCCTGCAGGAGCTGGAGAGTCTTCAGGCAAAGCTTCCCCCCTACCTACGGGACCTGTTCAGTGATGATGCGGACGTCCTGGTGTGGCATGTGCTCCTCCTGCCCGTGAGTGTTCCTGGGGACCATGGCTTTTGTTTGGGATAACAGGCCAAGGACATAGGGAGGCTTAGGACTACTTCAGACTTTACCCTGCCTAGAATTACTTTTCTTGCCCGGAGACCAATCATGGGCAGAGGTCTCTGGGTTGATTGTTTCTGAGGTCGAAGCAGGCTGATGAAGAGGCTGAAAGACTTCTGGATTTAGTAGGAGACTCTTTCCTCAAACCAGTAGTCACCTCAAGCCTGCCACACAAGTGTCAGCAAACAAATGACATCGAAAGAAGGAAACAGATCCCTTGGATCTTTGTCAAGGGATAGGGATAAACTTCCTGTTTTTCACAGTTGGCGGAATTTGACCTCTCAAACCTACAATGTATTTTGCTTTCTTTTAATGATCATATTTCAGATAACTTTTTTTTTATTCCAGTGTAGTTTGCATACAGCGATATGTTAGTTTTCAGGTTTGCAATGTAGGGATTGGACAACTACTGTTAGGTACGACTACGTAGATAACTCTTCTCTGATTTTGATTTTTCTCCATTTATGAGATCTCTCTCAATAAAATCTCCCCTGAAAACCATATTCTAGAGGACCTGTCTGACTGCCAAGATTTCTATTTTATCATTAATAGACGGACAGTGTTTTCTACGGGACAGTCATCTACACACCTTTAGTTTTGTGAACATGAAAATTAAAACAGTGAACCTTTTTGGTAGCTCTTTGGAATATAAAGAGAACAACTCACTGGATTATTTAGGATTTGGACTTCTTACTTCTTTAGGATTTGGACAACGCAGTGTCCTGGTTTAGGCCATCTTCTCTTTAACTGATCTGTAGTCTTGAAAAGGGGAGAAAGGCTGGAGTCGGGGCCACATATGGACATCTGTTGTGTCCTGTGGGCTGCTAGGTTCAAGCAACCCATTTACCTGGCTTGGAGTAAGAACACCTGCTCTGGGCCTCAGGTGCCAGAGGATGAAGGTGCCAGAAGGTGCTCCAGGGATGGATTAGATCCCAGGGAAGCTAGCTCTGAGGTGGATAAGAGTCAAAGTGGGGGAACAGGGGGAGCAGGTCAGAAGGAAGGAGGTGGACGACAGGGACACTTGGGGAAGGTCCCATTGCAGCAGATACTGTGAAATCAGAAGACCCGATTGTTTGGCAAGACAAAGTGGTTGGTTTTCTGTTCTGAGCACAATTCCAGTATGTGGAGGCATGCCCTGCCTCACCAGCAAGCAGTTCTCAGGACACCAGCTGGGTGTCTTCCTCTTTAACTCACTTCTGATACTATCTCGCTGGAGATAGCGTCAGATCACACAGATTACGGCCCAGTCCCACAAGACTGTCCCCTCTGCACACACTCTCCAAACTCCTCTCAGATATCAGTTGCAAGTCCAGCTGCTTCTGACCGAATGGTTATAAACCAGAGGTTCCCATGACCCCTTCCTCAGGTTCAGTTAATCTGCTGGGGTGGTGCACAGAATGCAGACACATTTTCCTTTTACTAGATGAACGTATTTTCTGAAAGGGTATAACGCAGAACAGCCAGGTGGAAGAGATGCACAGGGCCAGGCATGGGGGAGGGCATGGGGCTTCCACACCCTCCCCAAGTGCACCACTCTGCCCAAACCTCCACCTGTTCACCAGCCCAGAAGTTCCCCGAAACCTGTCTTTTTTGGGGTTTTGTGGAGGCTTCATTCCATAAGCATGAATGATGAAGTCATTGGCCATTGGCGATTGGACTGTAGTCCTTCTCCCCTCCAACCGTCCAACCCTGTGGTTGGTTCCCCAGCTCCAGCCCCATCCTTAGGTGCTTCCAAAAACTATCTCATTAACATAACATTTGGGTCACTCTCAACACTTGGGAAATTCTAAGGGTTTTGAGAGCTGGGAGCCGGGGAGCTATGGACAAACCTGAGAAATGTGTCTGAGTGACCAAATATATATTTCTTTTTCCTTTCTTTTTAAAAGATTTTATTTATTTATTCATGAGAGACATACAGAGAGGCAGAGACACAGGCAGAGGGAGAAGCAGGACTCTTCCCAGGACCCCGGGATCACAACCCAAGCCAAAGGCAGGCGCTCAACCACTGAGCCACCCAGGTGCCCCCCAAATATATATTTCTTATAAATCACAGTAGCACAGTAGGTGTGCTCCCAGAAACTAGCCAGAGACCTTCCATCCATGCAGGGGTCCTGAACAAGCATATTGGTTGGGAAGATTGATGCAGAACAGCCAGCTAAGGGGGCCCCCAGGTGTCTGGTGAAGCCATAAAGGAGGTGTGGTTGGGAGGCAGGGGAAAGAGAATCCAGAAAGGTCTGTGGGGCAAGCAGACAGATGGCCCTTCAAAACCTCCATCTCAGTATATACGCTTACCAAGGTGGCCCCCCCCTTGTCACTTCATATCAGGGAGGCTGACGGTGGGACAAGCCTTGGAAGCTCCTGGTAAGAGTTGCCATTCACTGAGAACCCCTGTGGCCTGAGCACTGTTTCCAGGACACTGCCTGAGCAGTCATCCTGCAGTCCTCTCAACCACCCCACCAGGAAGCCTGGATCTTTTACAGAGATGAGAGGGAATGGAAGCCAAGGGGGCTTAGTGGTTCGTCACACAGAAGGTGGCACAGGGTAAGGTGGCAGGGCTGGGGGGATAGCCACGCGCTTTCTCTAAACCCAAAACTTAGAAGGAAATCAGACTTTTTCAGCCAACCCCAAGGTACAGTATGAAGCCATCGGGTGGTCTAACTTCTTCATGTCACGGATGGGAAACTGATTCCCTGAGGAGCTCCCAGCCACGCCGCAGGCCCGAGGCAGAGCTGGGGCAGCTCCTGGGGCCCCTGCTCCAGGGCTCCGCTCTCCTTCCCCACTAGGGCCCTGGAAGCTGGCATGCACCCCTGCAGGCAGGACACACTGGTGTTCTCCATCCTGTCCTGAGGCTTCACCCTTGGCCCTGTCTCTACCTCACAGGCCAGGGCTCTTTTTTTCTTTTTCCTTTTTTTAATTTTTTAATGATTTTATTTTATTTATTTGACGGAGAGAGAGCACCTGCACCAAGCAGCGGGAGCGGCAGGGGCAGAGGGAGAAGCAAACTCTTCACTGGGAAGCCTGATGCGGGGCTCATTCTAGGACCCCCGATCATGACCTGAGCCAAGGCAGACGCGTAACCAGCTGAGCGCCCCCCCCCATCCCCGGCACCTGCCAGGGCTCTTCTTATCAAGAATAGAAATGCTGAGGGGATCCCCTGGGTGGCTCAGTGGTTTAGTGTATGCCTTTGGCCCAGGGTGTATCCTGGAGTCCTGGGATAGAGTCCACGTCAGGCTCCCTGTATGGAGCCTGCTTCTCCCTCTGCCTGTGTGTCTCTGCCTCTCTCTCTCTCTCGTCTATCATGAATAAATAAATAAAATATTAAAAAAAAAAAGAATAGAAATGCTGAGACATTCTCCTCATCACCCCTTAGGCCATCCCTTCTTCTATCTCAGACACTCCCAGGACCACGATGGCTCCCATTTCGCCCTCTGCTAAATGAAGAGGAGCTCTTTTAAAACCTTGACCCTGGGTTTAAATCTGTAGGTCATTCTGGCTGTCTTTGTCTTGTCTTCTCAGTAACGAAGTTTCTTTTTTTTTTTCTTTTTTTTTTTTTAATGTTTATTTATTTATGATAGTCACACAGAGAGAGAGAGAGAGAGAGAGAGGCAGAGACACAGGCAGAGGGAGAAGCAGGCTCCATGCACCGGGAGCCTGATGTGGGATTCGATCCCGGGTCTCCAGGATCGCGCCCTGGGCCAAAGGCAGGCACCAAACCGCTGCGCCACCCAGGGATCCCAGTAACGAAGTTTCTGAAAGGAGCTGGAGCTTTGGAACCAGCAGGGAGCCCCTGTGCCCTTGTGCTGGGGTCACCTGAGTCCTCAGGCTGCTCACTTCTGGGAGCGTAGACTAGTGCTCATGTGTGGGGATGTAGGGTCGACCGTGCTAGGTTCCTGGCTAGCGCACCACCGTGGCCCTGGCAAGCTACAGTGAACTTGAGTTTCCTCATCATAATATAAATGCTAGTAGTGGTGAGTTTTCATAATACTTCCTGTATTGGGACACCTGGGTGGCTCAGCAGTTGAATGTCTGCCTTTGGGTCCGGGCATGATCCTGGGGTCCCAGGATCGAGTCCCACATTGGACCTCTTGCATGGAGCCTGCCTCTCCCTCTGCCTGTGTCTCTGCCTCTCTCTCTCTCATAAATAAATGAGTAAATAAAATCTTAAAAAATACTTCCTCTATTCTCCAAAGGTAGTGCTTTCCATGTGAAGGCCCTGTTCTAAGGCCTTAACATAAATGAACTCATTTACTACTCACATAAGCTCTGTGAAGAAGCCTATTATTATTCTCATATAGAAGCACAGAGAGGTTAAGTTACTTGCATAAGATCACACAGCGAGGGGATAGCAGAGCCAAGATTCATCCTGAGGCGGAGTGGCTCCAAAGGCCATGTAATCCCTACCTTCTGCTGCGTGGACTAATGTGTGTCAAGCCCTTCACATAAGGTGGCACAGAGTAGATGCTCGGGAGAGCTTTCAGTTTGCTCAGAGTCTGGAGGTTCTGGCTCCTGGCAAACCCAAACCCCCAGTCACTCCAGCCCGATTTCTTTCTTTAAGAATTTCTTTTTTAATTCTGGTAAAAGTACACGATAACACCATTTGCCATTCTAAGCCTTTTTTTCTTTTTAAAGATTTTATCCAGGGATCCCTGGGTGGTGCAGCAGTTAGGCGCCTGCCTTTGGCCCAGGGCGCGATCCTGGAGACCCCGGGTCGAATCCCACATCGGGCTCCCAGTGCATGGAGCCTGCTTCTCCCTCTGCCTGTGTCTCTGCCTCTCGATCTCTCTCTCTCTCTCTGTGACTATCATAAATAAATAAATTAAAAAAAAATAAAGATTTTATCCATTTGAGAGGGCGGAGGGGAGCAGTGGGGGCAAGAGAGATGGACAAACTGACTCCATGCAGAATGCAGGGCCCAACTCAGGGCTCGATCCCAGGTCCCCCATCTCATGACCTGAGCTGAAACCAAGAGTCAGATGCTTAACTGCCTCACCGACCAAGCCACCCCGGCGCCCCCCATTCTAACCCTCATGTTTATAGTCAGCGGCACTCAGCTCAGTATGTTCCCATTGTTGTGCGACTATCCCCATGGTCCACCTTCAGAACACTTTCATCTTCCCCTTCTGGAGCTCTGTACCCATGAAACACTGACTCCCCATTCCTCCTCCCCACCCCACTCAGCACCTGCCAACTCATTTTCTATTTTATGGCTATGAATCTGACTCCTAGGTACCTCCCCCGAGTGGAGTCCTATAGTATTTGCTCTCTTTTTTTCTACCTTATTTCACTTAGCATAATGTTTTCAGAGTTCATCCACATTGTGGCACTTTACCATTCTTCTTTTTTTTTTTTAAGATTTTTAAAATTATTTATTTATTTATTCATGAGAGACACAGAAAGAGAGAGGCAGAGACACAGACTGAGAGAGAAGCAGGCTCCTGCATGGAGCCTGATATGGGACTCGATCCCAGAACTCTGGGGTCACACCCTAAGCCAAAGGCAGACGCTCAACCACTGAGCCACCCAGGCGTCCCTTACCATTCTTTCTTAAGGGTGAGCAACATCCTATCGTACATATAGGCCACGCTTTGTTTACCCACTCATTCATTGAGGGGCATTTCAGTTCTTTCAACTTTTTGCCCCTGTGAATCATGCTGCTGTGAGCACAGGTGTACAAGTATCTTTTGGAGTCGCTGCTTTCGGTTCCTTTGGGTATGTACTTGGAGCTGAAACTGCTGGATCTTATGCTAATTTTTTTTTTTCAAGATTTTATTTATTTATTCATGAGAGACACACACACACACACAGAGAGGCAGAGATACAGACAGAAGGAGAAGCAGGCTCCATGCAGGGAGCCCGATGTGGGACTCGATCCTGTGGCTCCAGGATCATGCGCTGGGCTGAAGGCGGTGCTAAATCGCTGAGCCACCCACGGATCCCCCTAATTCTATGCTTTGATTTTTAAGGAACTGCCATGTGGTTTTGCACAGCAGCTGCACCATTTTACATCCCCGAGCCCCTGACATCTTAGCATTTCATTTTCTCCATGTCCTCTCACCACTGATAATGATGTTGTCAATCACTTGCTCACTGTGCCCACAGAGAAGGTATCTGTCCTTCCTTCTCCCCTAATTCTCAGATGACCGTTGGTGACAGTATGCAAAGACCTTGAAGGTATTATGTGAAGTGAAATAAGTCAGGCAGAGAAAGACAAATGTCATGTGGTCTCTTATGTGTGGAATCTAAAGAAACAAAACCCAAAAAACTCAACTGACAGAAAAGGAGATCAGGTTCTGGTGTTTATCGGAGGCAGAGTGGGGCATATGGAGGGAGGTGGTAAAAAGGTATAGACTTCAGGGCTCAGTCAGGGAAGCATCTGACTCTTGCTCTCAGCTCAAGTCTTGATCTCAGGGTTCTAAGTTCAAGCCCCATGTTGGGATACACACAGGATATGGGACCTACTTAAAAATTTTTCAAAAGTAAAATGTGTAAGGGTGCCTGGGTGGCTCAGTTAATTAAATGTCTGCCTTCAGCTTGGCTCATGATCCCGGGGTCCTAGGATCAAGCCCCACATCGGGCTCCCTGTTCTGAGGGGGAGCTGGCTTCTCTCTCTCCCTCTGCCTGCCGCTCCCCCTGTGTGTGCTCTCTCCAATAAACAAAAATCAAATCTTTTTTTTTTTTTTTTTTTAAAGGTGCAGACTTCCATGTATAAGATAGGAAAGTGCTGAGGACACACAGCGTGGGGACAGTAGCTGACACTGCTGTGTGGCACACGGGATAGTAAGACAGTAAATCCTAAGAGTTTTCATCACCAGGAGAAACTTTTACCTTTTTTCTTTTTCTTCTTATTATATCTGTATGAGAAGATGGATATTAGCTAAGCCCGTCGAGCTCATCATTTCACTGTGTATGTAAATCAAACCTTTGCGTCATATACCTAAAATTTATGCGGTGATATCTGACAATTATTTTTCAGTAGAACTGGAAAAAAGTTCATTATTGGGGGGAAAAAAAGGAGGTGGTTCTTAGAGCTCATGTAGTCAAACTTGACCCAATTTTCAAATGAGGAAACAGACTCAGAGGTGGGGGCGGCTAGCCTGCAGTCAGTTGCCCAGCAAGAACCAGGATCCGATTTTTGTAACTCCCAGGCCAGTGTTGTTTTGTGACTCGACTCTTCCACGAATCTGTGGCTCAGTCATCAAGTGCGTGCAGGTGCCATCTGTATCCATTCATGGTCCTACCTGGGGGGATAGCAGAGGATGCTGGGAACCCCGGGGTAGGGTGGGGAGGAGGGGAGCCAGACCAAGGCTCTAGGAGGAAAACCATCTTTCTGGAGGAGACATGTCTTAAAACAGAGTTTAACCTTCTGTTGCACAGGAGAAACCACCCTATAACCTCAAGGCCTTCCACCTGCGTATCAGCTTCCCCGAGGACTACCCGTTCAAGCCCCCCACGGTGACCTTCACCACCAGGATCTACCACCCCAACGTGGGCCACGACGGAGACGTTTGCCTGCCTATCATCAGCAAGGAGAACTGGAATCCTCACACCAAGGCCTGCCAAGGTGGGACTGGGTCTCCCCTAACAGGACGGACTGATCCTGGATTCAGGGTTATGGGACTGGTTTTGAGGCAGGAAAGCCCAAAGAAGGGGAAATAAAGATTGCGGGTCTCAGCCTGTCTTTGGGCAGAAGGGATGCATCCTGAGATCCTGGGCTGGCTGGCCTGGTGCTGCCTCTGCTCGTCTACCTGGGCAGGTGTAACAGAGCAGCATGGTTAGGGGTCATGGGAGAGAGAAGCCGTAGGCTCTAGGGGGAAGCACTCTGGGGCTCTGTCTGCGGACCTTGGTGAGGTCTGCTCCTCCCCAGGCTCGACGCCATAATGACAGTCGAGGGGATTGGCCCAATGATGGCAGTACATGTCGATTAAGCCCTTGGAGGGCCATGCTGGGAGCTTTGCACGCTGGCTTCACCCAAATCCCCAGCAGCCCCATGTGCGGTGTCCCTGTCGCCCTGTTGTTTAACTAGGTGAGGACCCTGGGGCATGTGACAGGTAAAGCGCTTGCCCGCTGTTGTACAGCTGGCAAGTGGCTGAGCTGGGCTTCAAAGCCAGGCTTGGCTGACTCTAGGACAGAGCTCCCCAGGAAGACGTTCTGTAGAGAAAGAAATGTTCCATAGCCACACAGTGCGGTTCCCCAGTCAGTAGTCACGTGTGGCTCTTGAGTACCTGACATGTGGCTAATGTGACTGAGGAACTGAGTTCCTAATTGCAGTTAATTTTAATTCGTTTCAAGTTATGTATCTGCACATGGCTAGTGGCTACCATAGTGGACAGTGTGTTTCTAGACTCCATGAGTGTGATCTGTGTGCAGAGTCTGTCTTGCTTCTGGACCAGCTCAGTTCTTCTTTTTTAAAATTAATTAATTAATTAATTTTTAAAGATTCTATTTATTTATTCATGAGAGACACAGAGAGAGAGAGAGGCAGAGACAGGCAGAGAGAAAAGCAGGCTCCATGCAGGGAACGCAATGTGGGATTTGATCCCAGGACTCTAGGATCACACCCTGGGCCGAAGGCAGGCGCTTAACCTCTGAGCCACCCAGGCGTCCCTCATTTATTTTTTTAAGAGACAGATAAAGAGAGATCGTGCACGCTTGAGTGGGGGTGCAACTGAGGGGATGGGAGAAGGAGAGAATCTCAAGCAGACTCCCCACTATGCAAGGAGCCTGACGCTGGGCTTGATTTCATGCCCGTGAGATCAGGACCTGAGCTGAAATCAAGAGTCAAATGCTTAACTGAGCCACCCAGGCTCCACGACCAGCTCAGAGTTCTTAGCCTTGGGAACAAGGATCCCTGGGGGGAGAGGGGGAGGGGAGATGTGGTCCAGGGGGACTGTGGAGCACTCTTTGCGTAGAACCCCATGTTTGTATATGTTCGCATGTGCACATGCCTCAAGTGATGGGCCACTCCCTTCACCAGGTTCCCAGAGGAAAGATTGGGAGCCACTGGGCAGTCGTGGTTTCCAGTCTTTAGTATCAGAACCCTTTTTCCCAAATAAAAGTTGATTTATTTGGAATCCTATCAAACAGAAAAACAGAGTGGTTCTTGTTGAAAAGGGGGTGAGACTCAGAAACCCCATTTATCTCATCAACCCCCATGATGGGAAGCTTCTCTGAAGCCACAGAACATGGTTTGAAAGCACTGGTGCAGCCGGTCAGGGTTCTGGGCCCCATCAGTGAGGAATGAGGGCCATTTGACTTGGTCATAGAGTCACCATCGTCATTCCATCCAAGGAGATGGAACCTCCTTGGGAGTCCTCCACAGAGTGAGTGTGGGATGCCGGGGGACCTAGGGGTGGGCTGCCATCGCCTCCTTCCCAGGGTCTTTCTCTCATCCTAATGTCCTGATCTGGCCTCTCTCCCCAGTCTTGGAGGCTCTCAGCATGCTGGTGAATAGACCAGACCTGGGGCAGCCAGTTCGGGTGGAGCTCGCCGACCTGCTGACGCGAGACCCAGAGCTGTTCAACAGAAAGGCCCAAGAGTTCACCCTCCAGTATGGAGTGGACCGGCCCTCCTAACTGGTTCTGACCCCTCTCTGTTGCTGGGTCCTCTGTGTGATGGACGAGATGTTTGACAGACTGTGTGCTAGAGCCCCTCTCATTTGTTTCATGTTTTCCTTCATGGGTTGTTAATCATTAGTCTGTGTGTGTGTGTGGTGTGTGGTCCCATTCCCAGGTTCACCTGGCCACAGGTGAGCCTTTCCTGCTCTCTTTTTCTACCCCAGAGCCAGAGGAGTTCACGTTTGTGCAGTGACAGGCCAGCTCTCCAGCGCTCTGTGGCCTGAAATTCTGGTCTCACTAATTGCTCTTACAGACACAGGTCACCTTTGGGCCAGGTGGCAGGAAACAAGCCCAGAAGGCAACTAGAATCTCCATGGGGCCCTGGCATCCCGGGGGGCAGAGGGGACATGGGGAGTGTGCATGGGAGAAGGATTTGTCTTTACAGTTGAGCAATTTGTTGAGTGATTGAAGTCAGACTGCTAATAGGTACTGTATGTTTAGATTTCAGTATTAAACGTTTCCTTTTCTACTGATAAATCACAAAATAAAGAATCTCGATCCTGGAAATCTGACTACATGGTTCTGTTTTTGTTTTTTTTTTGTTTTTTTTTGTTTTTTGTTTTGTTTTTGTTTTGTTTTTAAGATTTATTTATTTGAGAGAGAAAGCACAAGTAGGGAAAGAGGCAGAGGGAGAGGGAGAGCATCTCAAGCAGACCCCCTGATTAGCGCAGAGCCTGAGGCGGGGCTCGATCTCACGACCCTGAGATCATGACCTGAGCCAAAACCAAGCTTTGGATGTTCAACCAGTTGAGCCACCCAGCACCCCTGATAACGTGGTTTTAAACTTTTTTTTTCTTTTTCTAAAGACTATTTATTTGAGAGAGAGAGAGAGAGAGCACATGTGGGCAGGGGGCTGGGCAGAGGGAGAGGGAGACTCTCAAACAGACTCCAGGCCGTGTGTGGAGTCTGAGGCGGGGCTCATTCCCAGGACCCTGAGATCATTGTGAGCTGAAACCAAGAGTCGGATGCTTAACCGGCTGAGCCACCCAGATGCTCCCGACTACATGGCTTTGAGACCACTTGCAATCCCATTAGGTTGCCAGTTCCTAGGGGCTAGCCTTCGCGCTGGGAGGAATGTCCCCTTCCATCCAGTCCGGAGGGACCACAGGAACCATCTGCTGTCCACTCATCAAAGTCGAGGATGAATTTGGAGCCTGGCTGAGTGTTTGTTGAGAGGACGGAGTGGTCTCCTCAGGAGAAGGTGAGGCTGAGGGTTAGCTCCCATCTACTAAAAAGTGTGACCTTGATGGCTCACTGGGCTTTGAGCCTCGTGTAACCCCAAACACCATGGGGAAGGCTGGCCACGAGGGACTAGGCTGGTAACACGTCCACAGGGGTAGCGCCCCTGTTTTGCAGATGAGACTACTGAGGCACAGGGTGCTTCCGTGAAGCCCAGGTCTGCTCTGCCAGTCAGGGCAGGGCCCACACCTCTTGCCACAGTAGCGAGCTGACTGGTTTTTGTTTCTGTGTTTTTCATGAGCTGTTCTTACCAGCCCATGAGCTCCAAACGGCTGGCAGAGGGAGACAGGACTATTAGCAGGAAATTATAAGCAGCTCAAGGCTTCATCTCTAATGAACAGTGGAAAAGCAAAAACAAGCCAGAACTTCAGCCTGAAGGAGGGACTTTCAGCGGGCGGTGGTGCTAAGCCGCTGGAGGCTGCTGCTTGCAAGAGACAGAATGTGGGGTGAGGGATTCACCCCAGGCCCTGCTAACCTAGTTTGAGATTTCTAGAGAATCTTCTATTCTAGCACCCGCCCTGGATTTTCTAATCTGAGAGAAGTGTGGAAAGGGAAGAGAACTGGGAAAAGCGCCACCAAAGGCTTGAAATGTACAAATGCATTGACTTTTGGCCTCACCTATGGAATACTTCAGTGACAGGCACCAGACAAGGCCGGACAAGGCCCTTTGCTCATTTCATTATTTCATTCAACCCTCACAACACCTATTTTCCCTATTCACATGGTAAACTGAGGCTCAGAGAGGTTAACTCATTGGCCCAATGTCACATAGCTGCTTAGCCATGGGACCCGGGCCATTGTCCTTTCCCGAATGTCTGTCCTGATTGTGAGAAGATTGAGTTGGGTGAGGAGCCCCAGTGGCCGGGGTTTATCATTCCAGAGTGAGTGAGGTTCCTGGGTGGAGGATGGAGGTGCACTGAGGGGCCAGACAGGGTTTTATAAAAGTACTTTTATTTATTTATTTTTAAGGATTTTATTTATCTATTCATGAGAGACACAGAGAGAGAGAGGCAGAGACATAGGCAGAGGGAGATGCAGGCTCCCTGCGGGGAGCCCAACGTAGGACTCGATCCCATCGTGACATGGAATCACAGCCTGAGCCAAAGGCAGGTGCGCAACCACTGAGTCCCCCAAGTGACCCCATAAAAGTACTTTTAATGCATTTGACTCTGGTGCCACCTGCTCTTGTTCCAGCCCCAGCTCCGCTGCCTCCTGGCCACGGCTGCTCAGCTGGACACCCTGCCCACCTCCACCCACAGGGCCAGCCAGCTCCTCATTTCTTCTTGGTCTTCACCAGTCCTTTCTGCACAAGGCTGCGGTATAGCTCCTGGATGTAGGTGTAGACACACTTGGAGTCGGGCACTGCCAGCCGCACCATGTCGTCCACCTCCAGCAGCTGGGCGCAGTCGGCCAGTTTCCTGAGGGGCAGAGGTGGGGTGGCTGAGCAGTAGAGCCAAAGCTGAAGGATGTGGGAGCCAGGGGAAGGGGGTGGGGGCATGGCCCAAGGGTGAAACCCACTGAATCGTGTATGTTGGAGCCGAGAGGTCGTCTAGGTCAACCGGCCCACTGTACACATGAGGTAACTGAGCCCCCGACAGTCCAAACTCCAGAGCAGCTTGGTCTGACCCCAAAGCCCGAGTTGTCAGTGCACCGTGGGTCCTCATGTGGGAGGGGGACCCCTGGTTTCTAAGTCTAGATCAACCCACCCCTCCCATGTGCTCATCCCATCTGCCCTCCAGAAGGCCAGCCCACCCCCCCCCGGGGGGGTGGTTAGAGGATGGAGCTCCAATCCTGGCTGGAGGGCAGCTTGCAGCTGCACCATCTCCAAAGTCAGCAGATGCATGGTCTCCATCCTTCATTCAGTCTCTGCCTCTTTATCGAGGACCTACTATGTGCTAGTCACTCTCTGAGGGGATTCAACACCACACAAAACCAAAAGTGCCCCACTCTCAGATTAGTGACATTCTCATAGTGGAAAATAGGCAGTAATCAAACGTGCTATGGATGGTATATAAGGTGGCGAGAGGTGATAGGGAGAAAAGTAAGGCATGAAGGGAGAAAGGGTGTCCCTGTGTTAAGGGGCATTTTCTAGCAGAGAGCTCAAGGAAGACCTCTTAGAAAGAAAGAGTGAATCATGTACGTGTCTAGGGGAAGAGGATTCCAGATGGAAGAAACAGCATGTGCAAAGGTCCTGAGGCAGGATTGCTTGGTGTGTGTGAGGAACATGGAATTCAGCAGCCAGTTCTGTTTTGGTAACTTCCCACCTGCTCTTCGGGGCCATGTGCTGCTCCTGGCTCTGCCGAGGCCCATAACCCGAGCAAACCACTGTCAGGCCTTGCCACCACATGCCAGGTGCTTTATCACCTTCTTGCCCTTGAGTGGTCTCGTTTACGTCTATCCTCTGTCCTTAACGAGTGGAAGAGGAGCTGGAGACTCAGAGCACTTTGGTGGTGTCCTCACAGCTGGGACTCAATCCCAGGCTTGCCTCTGGGTCCTTGCCCCAAAGCAGGGCCTCTCAGCCTGTCAAACTTCAACGGGTGCCTGGCAGTAGGAGGGTCCAGGGTCCCGGCGGAAACCCTGTCTTGGGGCAGAGACAGCTGGGCTGAAACCCGCGCTGGACTGGCCTGAGAGCCGGGGGAGGGCACACGCTGGAGGATCTCCAAGGACGGGATGCGCTGGCAGCAGCCAATATGCTGATTTCTGCTGCTGGGGGTCAGGGTGCTGTCGCCCTACACGGGAGCAGCTTCCCTAGCCCGGGCCCAAGGGGCAGGGCCGGGCTCCTCGGGCAGCACGGCTGACCGAGCCCACCGAGGGGCGAGCGCTGTCCCCCCACCTCCCAGGATTCCGTGGGAATCAGGTGGGCTCGAGAACAGGGGCAGAGGGGGTGATGGCCGTGGCAGGGGCCTCCTTACTTTGCACACGTCATCTTCACATAAAACCCGAAGAGAAGGGAAGTGGCTGCCAAGAGTCCCAGAGCCAAGGAGGAGGGGCAAGACGCAAATCCAGCAGGTCAGCCCCTCCATCCTGCACCATCCTGCACCGCTTGCGTCCCTACCCGCCTCCTTCCCTTTCGCTGCCACCCCAGGCCTCCTGGCAGCCCGTTGTCACCCGATGATCCGTTTTGCCTGCACGAGGCTCGGCCTGGCTTGGGACCACGGCAGGGCAGCTGTGGGAGGCCGGGGACACTCGGTTCCCACTGCTCACTTAAGAGTGCTCGGCGCCCGCTGGGAGTCCCACTTCTGTGCCACGGCTCTGCCAGGACCCTCCTGGGGGAGCCTGGGGTGTCGAGGGACCTCACTACTCGTAGCTGCCAAGAGGACAGAATGAGATACCCCGAGGAAAGCCCTTAGCAGGAGGCCCGGCACCTAATGACCCATGGTTCATGGGGCTTGTCATCATCGTTAAAGGTGTTTCTGAACCCAGAGCAGGACAAGACCCTCCTGACCCCCTCGGCTGCCCACCCCAGGGCATTCACTCCATCCCGTGATGGGAAAATGTGAAACTGGAAGGAATCTTCTGGAATAGCAAGCCTGGTGGTTTTCGAATTGCGTCCGTGGTGCCCTAGGGCCCCGTGCATGTGCCTCAGGGAACGTGTTGGGAAGGGTGTTGGGCGCTGAGCTGGTGCGCTCCAGGAACCACCCCCAGCCTAGAAAGGTTCCCTTTTGAGGGGTGACACTGATAGCCCATGATCCTCAAGCTGGGGAGTGAAGACAAGGAAGTGACAGAAAGTGGAAAATTGTGCGGTTAATGGATTAGAAGACTCCACAGGGTAAAAAAAATCGCTTGGAGCAGGGGTGCTGACCTAAGTGAGTTAGAGGAGAGGGGTGGGGACAAGGAGAGAGCTCACGGTCTGAAACCAGGATTTTAAAGGCGGTACAATTTGGCAAAACCTCTAGGTCATAACCATGAGCAGGTGGCTGAGGAGAAGAGCGATCAGCTCAAATGACCAAAAGGCCGGTGGGTTGTAATGATTCCTCTTAACGGGTCACTTCGTCCAATGTCATCCAGGCTGCGGACAATTACCATTTGGGTTAGGACACGCTTTGCGCCCACTGTGCCAGTTTCATTACGTACAAGTTAGAGGCACGAATGTCAAGCTCTACAAATGAGCTAATGTTTGAAGCAATATCTATGTTGCATAAGAAAAGTGTGATTTAGTTAAAGTTCTAAAAAAATTAAAATGAAAAGGCCCCCCTATAATCTGTTTTACACATCGGGCATTCACTTAATCGTTCGCTTGAGGAAACTGCTGAAAAAGAACCCACCGCAAAGC